TATAAAACAAAACATCAAGCAAATTATTTTTTATTAAATAATATATAATATAAATAATGTGTATGTATGTATGTTTTTTAGTTCTGAAAAAAAAAGTCATTATTTGATTGCAGATCCCACTTGGGTGGATATCTAATGAAATGACAATCATTTTAAGTTGTGACTAAAATGTCAAATAGTTCTTGGAGCTGCTATGCATTTGCTGTAAGACTCTGGCTTTACTACAGACCGCACTGTGTGAATGACCATTGTAGAATATGGGACGCTGGCCAAAGATGACATATGTTGTCAAATCCTTTGAATGTGTATAATTGTGTATGTGTGTGTGCATGCTATAATGTGTTCAGGATTTTTTTTTTTTCCTACCCGCCCTTCTCCGATATGTAGGAATTAGCGAACATTGCTTAACTACAAACCAACCCTAATCAAAGTGCCGAATCTTTAAAAAGACAGCTGTTGTCATGTGCTTTAATTCACAGCTATCTCCCTTTGTCAAGCAAAGCTGGACACAGTTGTCTAGTAGAGACAGCTAGGGAACAGGGGTTAACAGACTTCTCTCAGTGAAATGGTCTTTTACACATCCATGCCACATGCCCATCAGTCACAAAAATCAGAGGTAAGTTCCATTTCATCTTTCTGCCATTCGCTTTGGGCCTAGCAATGCCATTACTCATGTCATTTGATACTCACTGACCCTTAAAGTGAACCCTCGGTTGTTAAAAGTACTACAGTAAAGCTGGTTTGCCTGGTGCCGTTTTGTGGTTTTAAGCCTCAAATGTCTCTATTATGCATTTTTGAATGTAATGTTAATTTTGATTGCTTGTAGAAGAATCTGAAAGATGCCATAGTCAGACACTGAGTTTCTTTGCCATCTGCTTTTTAGAGTTTAGGCAGTTAGAGTTTATGTTGTTTCCTGTGATCTAAGAGTCATAACCTTACTGATTTATGATCAGTAATGTGAAATTATAAGCGGATATAAAAAAAATTCTTCTTTACACAGGAATATTACTATAATTGAAGATTTAAGGATTTAAAAATATACTATATATATATAT